TGTCCAAACCGGTATTTGCAGGTCATGGCCACCAATTTGGCTATCTCAACTCAAAACTAATGTTAAGGTGGGAGGGTCCCTTTAACGCGAGGGTAGGTAGTAGGTACTGAAAGTTTCGTCGCGATCGGCCGCTTTTTGACTGATTTGTTTGCCAAAGACCGCGGGAAGGGGTCCATTCGTCCACTTCTCTGTAAGCGCGAGGGTTAAAGGTATATACCACCGCGTAGTGTCAATAAATGGACCGGAAAGAATATCCCAGGCTTCTCAAACAGCTACTCTTTTTACCTGATGGAAACAGTCACCGCACTTTCTCAAACCTCTTCGTGACTTCGGACTCAACGTTAGGGGAGAGTGGGGTAAGATGCCCAGGGTGGGAAAGACGCCCCACCCCCTCTAACGGCAAAACAAAAAATATTACCTGGAAATTAATGTTTTTAGCGTAAAGCGGAAAACTTCCTTGTTAACTGCACAAAAATTTGCCAAGCTCAGTTGGTCAACGGTGGGCTAGGCTAGTGATTGCTTGTTTTATATGTGCTGCTTTCAAAAAATATTTTAGTGTCAAAACATTGTGAATATCAAAGAAATTGTAAACAAAATTAAGTCCCTTGCTATTGTCGTGATACATTTATATGAGTGTACTTTGTCCCAACTAGTTGTTTCAGGGTGTAGTTTTAGTATTAACAAGTTTCTGATTAAATGTCAATTCGGTACCTTGGGGAAAGATACCCCCTGACCTGATGGGGAAAGACGCCCCCCTAAATCCTTCAAGGAACTCATCGGATCATTTAGTACATACTTGTGAAGAGAGACAAAAGCCGATTTGGGACCATCATGAGAGTCCAATACGGTCAGGTGCTCGCCATATCGGTCTCTTGGCCCATACGCCGATTTTTTGGGCGGCATCTGACTCTGAGAGCCCTCACAGTCACGACGGTATCTGTGGGTCCCATTATTGGTTCCGATGCCCCTTACGACACTCTTTGAGAGCTCCCACGCTGACCCCACGGGCCGCGCTGGCATCTGAGGTCCCCACGATGGTCTTGAGGGCCCTCAGGCCTCAAGTCTCATTAAGACCTAATAAGGGCCCCACAACGGTCTCCGAACGTCACCACGGAGGCTTGTTTGGCCGCGCTGGACTATGATGGCCCTCACGATGACCTCTGAAGCCCCTCACGACGACTTTTTAGGGCCCTTATGATGGCGTTTAAGTGTCTACCGCAGGCTCGAGTGCAACTGATTCGTTCAGGCAATTCACGTGCCCATTTTTGTCACTTATAGTGCGGAGGGGCATCTTACCCAACCCCAGGGGGCGTCTTTCCCACCCTCTGGGGTAAGATGCCCCCTTTCACTACTTCAGGAAAATGATCAATAACAAAAAAGTTATAACATTTCAAGCACAAAAGTGTGGTATTTTGTGGATAAAAATGATGTCGGCTACCATTGAAACTCCAAGTTTTTGCTTTCCGATTGTCATTTTCGAATAATTTATGACATTACAAACCCCTGGGCATCTTTCCCCACTCTCCCCTACTGAAAACGATCTCTGAGCGAACGACGGTCTCCGCCATTTTCCGCTGTTCTCTTTTGACACCTCTCGTACCGGTATCTTATACCTACCGACCAAAAAAGCATTCGTAGGTATCCCTCGCTGATAGTTTACCTTACCCGTTTCAACACAAAGTTGAAGACAATTATTCACCCATAAACCCACCGCGGCGACCATATTTTCGCCTCATATCAACCACAAAATCACCCCCTACCTCAACATGTGTGTCGTTGCCCCCCATAGTTCTTATCCTCGCTCCGCCTCTACACCCCCTCTCTCCCTCCCTCCACCCACTTCGGGGCTTGATAAACCAAACACTACACCATTGCGCTGTGGTCACACCACATGCGCGAACGGTGTCCCCACAGCGTACCGCGTGCTGCACTGGCGCGACCATGACGCGTCAACGTGAACCCACCCTAACCCCTCTCGCGACCTTGACCTTGCTTCTGGTCTTCGCTATGACCTCGCAAGTGACCTCTGCGCAGTACTCTCCCACTTGGAAGTCCCTCGATGCGCGACCGCTTCCTTCGTGGTATGATGAAGCAAAAGTGGGGATTTTTCTCCACTGGGGTGTCTACTCAGTGCCAAGTTTTGGTGATGAGTGGTTTTGGACCCGCTGGAAGGACCCGTTCGACCCGCAGCACGCCAAGTTCGCCGAGTTTATGAAGAAGAATTATCGTCCGGGATTCACGTATCAGGATTTTGCTGCGCAGTTCACGACGGAGCTGTTTGACCCCGACCACTGGGCTGATCTGCTGCAGAAATCTGGTGCCAGGTGAGATACCGGGGTTTGGTGCTTGGTATCGACGACTCTCTCCAGTCTCCATGCTGCATTACATTTTTTTTCGAGGTAGTAAGAAAAATGCTATATATTATTATTGTGACATCATAACTAAACAATAGTTAAACCGATGAAATATTCTAGCTTTAACGCTTTGTGACGCTATCAGATAATGAATTTGTCATTAGAATGCAAACACTCGCCTACAACTGCCGTCATTTAAGCTTCTAGTTCTCAGTCTCGCAATTAACAATTGATCGGCGTTGCCATGCTAGCTGAGAAAATACCATTTAGTCCGTGTATCTTCATGGCAAGAAACAATCCACTCTCCGCTCTTGAATACTTTGTTTCAGTAGTCATTTCCGTAGTTTGATTGGCACGTCAAACATCTTCAAGCTGGCGTTCTATGCACTCCCCCGTTGGTTTTCAGACCTTCAACTCTCCCAGTAAGTCGCGCTGAAATCAAGACACATTATTTGGGCGTTCACATATCACGACACAAACGTTTTTTTATTTCTTCTTTGTCCCCTGCTTCCTTCGGTGCTCGGCTAATCGCAGCTCGTCGTGACAGTCGTTTCTCGTTTCTTCAGGTACGTCGTTCTGACATCCAAGCACCACGAGGGCTACACCCTGTGGCCCTCCGCCGTTTCCTGGAACTGGAACTCGATGGACGTTGGACCCAAACGTGACCTCGTCGGCGACCTAGCCTCTGCCGTGCGCAATCGCACCGACCTCCGCTTCGGCGTCTACCACTCCCTCTACGAGTGGTACAACCCGTTGTACAAGAACGACCGCTACTACAACCGAAGCGACTTCGTGACAATGAAGACGATGCCGGAGTTGAAGGAACTGGTGGAAAAGTATCATCCGGAAGTTATCTGGTCTGACGGAGACTGGACTGGCATGCCCGAATATTGGCGCTCCCAAGAGTTTCTTGCGTGGCTCTACAATGATTCTCCTGTAAAGGAAAGCGTTGTAACGAATGACCGATGGGGATCGGGAACAAATTGCAAACATGGCGGTTACTATACCTGTCACGACGGTTACAACCCTGGTACCCTACAGGATCACAAGTTTGAGAATTGCTTCACACTCGACGGCGCTTGGGGCTACCGCAGAGACTCTCCTCTGGCCAGCTACAAGTCTATTGAAAATACCCTCTACCAAGTAGTTTCCACCGTAAGCTGTGGAGGTAACGTGCTGATCAACGTCGGACCGACCAAAGACGGCATCATCATGCCAATCTTCGAAGAACGCCTCACGCAGCTCGGCGAATGGCTGGGTATAAACGGAGAAGCCATCTATTCCTCCAAGCCATGGACAGTGCAACATGATCCAACCAACAGTGACGTATGGTACACGCAGCGAGAAGGATATGTCTACGGCATTTCTCTCAAGTGGCCCACGGATGGGTTCATCACGATGGGATCGGCGCCCAATGTGACTGAGTGTCGTCTGTTGGGCTACGATGGGGTACTGGAGGTGGAGAACGGGAGGGTAACGCTCCCTCCCCTGCAGAAGGTGAAGAGTCAGTGGGCATGGGTCTTTAAGTTCGAACCCTGAGGAGACAACAGACTGTAGGTTAACGATGGGTAGCGAGCGAATGAAAATGTGATGCTCTAGAACTTACAACATAATCTCTACGATCAAATGTTTATATGAAAGAGACGTGAGAGATCAAGAGATCAAGATATCGTGCAAGATGTAAGTGCTGCCAAAACAAGAAGCTGATATGAAATCGCCAAAGTTCCTGAAAATAAAAGGCGTTGAACGATGAACGCATCGTTGAACAAGAATGAAAATGAGTGATATCATCACTTGAACTCAGTTGGCAAAACAGAGCAAGGCCGTATATAGGTACAGCATTCGTAGCTTCAAGTGCTAAGAAACTAAGATTGCTGGGCTGTTTCAGGTAAAGTTAGGTCAGGAACAACAGAGGCACATTATCACTGAAAAACACCCGCACTTTCGAGTCTTCAACACAAACAAAGCCAGGGTCAAAGCATCACATTATCGAACACATCAACAAGGCTCGTGACATGCTATCAGTCAAGAACCGGGCACCACGGCAATCGTCCGATAAGACACTGCTGTGTGCACTGTTTATTGACGTTAGGAGTTAAGAGCCCCACTTTGCACAGATACTTTGCTAGCGGAGAATAGGGTAGAGCCAGGGTAGAGCATTGGTATACTGACTTCATAAACCACAATGGAGGTCACAAATTAGTTTCACAGACAGAATCAGTTCACTCAGCTCGTAAGAATTCTGCTTCAGTAGTCATGTCCTTAGTTTGATTGGTATGTTTTTGACCTCCCGTCTTTTTTGCACATTCCCGCTGGTTTTGAACCCTTCTCATCCTCTCCAGGCACGTTATGCTTTCACCCAAACACGTCGAGAGGTTTCCGACGACCAAACACAGTGTTCACAGAGTTCAGACCACATTATAACAACTATGACCAAGCTATACGGAGAATGCACAGCCGAAATGTGGATGAGCCTAATCCTATAACAAAAAAGAATAACAGGATAGAAACACGGCATACTGGGCACTTCAATTGACCACCCGTTTGCGTCAAACCTTTTTCTAAGCCCGAGTTTTAAAAACCCCTTCCGAGCAGCACTGAGACGATATCAACGTTAGACCCTCGTTAGACTGGGTTTACAAACAATTGATTCGTTGTCTGTGTATTTTGTCATATCTGGCACAGTTGATTGGTATGTCCACTAGTAAGAACACATCGCATACGCATGGCCAATGAGCACCTTGTAATCTTGGAATAACGTTCACCTCGTAAGACTCTCACACGACTTTAACGATAATGGTAACAATGATTAGCATAAAGCGAAAAGCAAGCCGAAAGTGAGATGAAATCATCAACACCTCATCGAAAAACCATTACTTTTTAACCATTGCTTACATGCTATGCATGTCAATACAATATTGTAGTACATCAAATATTGCACCTCGAATGAAATAAAACTTGTGATGAAGTTGAGTTGAGACGTCTACCTTCGGGTAACTCAAATCAAAAACAATTTGTCATACAAAGAATAAGAAATATGTGCAATAACGTTTCACATCCGTGTGAACAAAGGCCTTATGGATGTTGCCAACAGTAAGGACACTTGGAATGTAGCGATATCAATATTTTGTAAACACGCAAAGGCACGGTGCTTCCACTCTCAGTTCACACTAAGAAGCGTCTAGAACTTTTCCACAAGAGCCAACTTATCATTTTATATCACAGCAAAATAAACAGCATCCTATTCTACCAAACACGCAGGCGAAACACAATGTAATTCGGAAATAACATTCCATCCCCACACAAAATTGCAGCCAACCACACTATACTCTGCCTATTTAACGGATTTAACGATGGCATACATTTCCAAGTTACAGTTCCAAATATATACCACACGAGACGAATCCTTTGGAAAAATTTGAAAATTGTCAGGGTATACTTCCTAAAAATTCCACGTGGAATTTTTCAGCAACGCACTTGAAGCGACAGGCCATAGTTAAATGAACAGATTCAAGGGATAAACTTGGGATGAACCAAGGCCCTAAATACAGGATGAACAAGGGATGAAGTTTGGAAGAGTTTCAAAGCACAAACTTTGGGTGAATTATTGCAAAAGGAATACATGCAATTCGCACTAGGAATGGCGAAACTGGCAAGCACCACACAAACATGAAATGGGCTTCCGTAACACTACGACGCCCCAGAATGACAAGCACCTAGATTGTTAACAAACCGGGGCCCTGTTTCATCGGTGATAGCAGCACGCTGCAAATTGCAAATCACACGTGTCAAATTAGGTTTCCATGGAAACATCAACAAACCATGGCGTCGTCAAACTGTGCGATGTCATCAAATATTGCTGCTAACATCTTCACGGCCGTGCGATCAAATAAATGTATCAAACGCATTCAAGGAGACAGCAACTCTGTTCCAAACGTAGCTATGAAAAAGCTCACGGATTACACGAAACATCATTAGTGTGACGTCATCACATTACGTCAGCTCGCGCAATTTCATAGTAGCGTGCTGCTATCAACGGTGAAACAGGGCAATGATTTTCTCAACATTATAAGTCAAGAAGGACAACAGTGACGCATCATTGTAAATAGCTTCCCGCAAATTATACATAGCTGGACCCGAGCAGCAGTGATTAGGTGGGAAATGTTTTGTTCCGATGAGATCTGTTTTGCAGAATGTTTACATTCATGAAAGTAAACTCATTTAAAATCGTTGCAAGAAGAATGGATGGTTCCATCAAATCAATGATATTATGTCATATCCACTTGGAGACAAAATTTTCTCCATTGACGTAATTATTGAAAGGACGAAATAGTCGTGGTGTTTTGAGTCATCCGATTATTTTCCTCAACTAATTGATTCTCACATCAAGTGGCATTTCCAGATCAAGCTTTTTGGTCACTAGCACTGCGTGCATCGCAAGAGGTCTTATCATGTAATATGAAGCCAACGAATGATCGCTTGCGGCCTTTCCAAAACCAGCTCCCGCAAATGCAGGCATTAAGAATAAGGTAGGCACATAAGCACCATTCGTCACACAACTAAAAGTCACAAACCAAAACCAACTTCACGTTCTTTCAAACTTTCCCAAACTATTCCCACTTCATCCCCACAACTGGACATCATCCCTTGGGAGCCCAAGGTCTTTTTTCAACGTCTTCACACCCAACTAGCCGCCCTTTATGTAGAGGCCGTATGGCGAGGTAACCTTAAGTCCATCCCAGGACATCATGCTCCAGCAGATGACGAGGCAGCTGTGGTCACCGCTAGCCGAGGCCGACATCCAGACACATCATGATGAGGAAACCGACGATGGCAGCCCACGAGGCCAGGCGACCGTTCCCGCTGTGGGGGAAGAGCATGGTGAACTTTAGAACGTGGGGAGGAGTTGAACATGTCGAGTGGTTGAACATAGCGACTCATGCACGGGATGGGTGCACGTTGTAACATAATGATCTTCGAAAGGTTTAGCAAGGTGAATCGAATGTAGGAGCCTTATGATCTTTTGATCGTAGTAAGCTGGTAAACGAAGTAGAAAGCCAGCACATACTAAACAAAAAATGATGAACGCTATAAGTACATTATGCCTAAATAATGTGGTGATCCAGCATTCAGTCTAACATCAGCTCTAACCGTAAATGAACGACCAGAGCTTTTAATGTAATAGGAAAAACTTTTGTTTGCAAACATCACTTGCGGTTCACTTCGTTGCACTCAACATCGTATTCTCCGCACAAATGCCACGCCTCGTCTGTATATGCATGCACCCTATAGCGTCATTTTACCCAAGTATGTCACTTCTACTCACCGCGTCTGCGCCTCGGGCACAATATCGTCAAACACCACGTATATCATGGCTCCAGCGGCGAAACTGAGAGCATACGGTAGTAGCGGCTCGGCGAGTGAGACGGCTACGGCTCCTAGCATTCCGGCGGCTGGCTCCACCATACCGCTCAGCTGCCCGTACCTGGGGGGGGGGGGGGGGGGGGGGGGGGAGTGAGAAGAGAGAAAAACATGGCAGGTAATCAGAAAATGAGAAGAAAAAGGTGAGGGGTCGGTGAACTATCACGAAACGTTTCAACAAACTAAGCTCACGTACAGGACAAACACCACCTCCTTTCTCTCTCATCATTGACACATGAAATGACACCCTCGCCCATACACTCTAAAACACAAAAAAAATATATATTAACAACTCTCTCACCACATTGAAAAGACAACCCCCCAGTCACAATCCCCCCCCCCCCCCATTCTTCCCCTCCATAGCCAACTGATCTAAGCCTCGTCTCTATTCTGAAGCAGCCCGCAGTCACACTCACCAGAAGGCCTGCCGGCTGGACATGCCCGCCCCTCGCAGGGGTAGGCTGACCGCCAGTCCCTCAGGGAAATTCTGAATGCCGATACCGACCGCTAGATTCCTGAAGGGGAAAGAGAAGGGAAAGTCAGTAAATGGAAGTATCTAGGGGAATGGTGGGGCAAGAGGGAGAGTTGGTCGGGAGAGGAAAATTATGTTCGACGAGTGTCATTAAAAAGTGGGTGCATCATGACAAAGAGCCGGAAAATGGTAGCAAAGGCTTATTCTGTCCTTTCGGATTAATTTCATTCATAACAAATACTGCAGTGTTTTAAAAATGTTTTTATCTGATCTTAGCAACCGAAATTCATTAGAAATTCGGCGATCACATAACAATAAGATCGCATAGCACGAGGTTTTCGCCACCTTGTTATAATATTTCCTTTAGGAACCGGGGCTTCAAGCACGTTTTAAACACCTCGCCAAGCCATCAACTGGCAATTAAAAAATTCAAGGTATTCAATATCCATTGCCCATGAGTTTTCGTTTTTATCAGACCTCATCAGTCCCCCCCCCCCGCCCCCTTCTCCCAGACACCTGCCTCCGCCCCTGTCACCGCCCCTCCCGCCCGCCGCCTGGCGCCGCCACTGTCCGGGGCGCGCGGTAACGGCCTTGGTCGGCCGCTGCCACCGTCCACCGCCGTCGTCGGTATAAATGCGACCGCATTTATTCAGGTTCAATGACACCAGCGCCAGCCGATCGCATAGCAGATCGGTGGACGGGTCGGTGGAGCAGCGGAGGTGGCGACATCTATATCACAGCCTACAGAGTCTGCCGCGAGGTGGCAGTAGCTCAAGGAGAGCCTAATTGAAGGCTCGTTGGTCATGGTTATAGGAAAACAGCTGTCACGCAATGAAATCAATGAATGTTTCGGGCTTTGATGAAGCAGAAAAGGTGATCGCACTCTGAGTTAAGAAGAGAATCACTCGTGAATCTAGACTCTTAAATAAAAACTTTGAAATCTGCCAGTGACTTGCAATGAACTGGGTGGTTAGAATACCTTGAATGCAGGACATACACGAATACAAATACAGTGTCCTGATTTTCGTGAATTTGGGTGGAAACCCACACCTTAACAGATTCTCTTTGTGACGTCCCGGAAAGCCAAACGACGTCCCTGACATTTTTTTACGGATCGGGATAAAAGTCGGCAGGTATATCGAACACCAAAAGCAAACTAACAAAAAGAAATATCACCTCTGTAGCCTAAAAACACGGCTATGCAAAATGACAACAAATATATCCTAAGTCCTCACAAACCCACTTACACTCAACTCCCCTTTCCTACACCGCTGGCCAACTGCCGCAACAGTAAACAACGCGGTTTTATGTTCGTTTTCTGTGCGTCAGATATGGATAGGTTTTCTTTTACCATATGAAGGTAATAGCTGCCATATGAAGGAGAAAAGATGTCGGAATAGAGGGATCTGAGGACATCGTTTTCCACTTTTCAGTTTTAGTAACTGTGGAGTGTATAGATAAAAATTTATCATGCGAATATATTACTTCGACATTTATCTATAAGCACGCAACATACCTTTTGTATCAAACTACTGTAACATATTTAATTATTTTTTCCCCTCAGAAGGTCACAGTAACGGGGTAGCGCTGCCCCTGGAACATGTCCTTCAAAAGTAGTTAATTTTGCATATGTTGGTAGTGGTTGGGGAAAAAGTTTAGTGTTTATTTGTTTGAATTAAAATAAAGTTACCGAATTTCAACAGTATTAATTCAAGTATGTCGTCCTTGGCTTAAAAAATACACGCAATGTTGGGGACGTCGATTGACCTTGTCATTCCCATTTAATCGACGTCGGTACAAAACTGAAAAGTGCACAATGATTTCACATTTTTTCCAGCCAAGAAAAATTCAGCGTCCAACTTGGAGTTTTCTTAATTGAATTTCATAACAGGAAGCTATGGAAATTAATTTTCCGAACTGTTTTCCACCTCTTTGTTTGGACGTCTGTTTTTTACGTCAGTCCTCTTGCTCGATATAATGTCCCTCTTATGACGTCAATATTTAGTGATAGCCGCTGGCTCTTGGGTTGATTTTTGTTGAAGCATATTTGTTGTTGACTGTTGTGTACGATCATGGACAAGAACTAGACATCTTCAAAGTGTTGTTTTGGTGTTTGTGGTGAATGATTTAATTTTGTATTGTACTAGGGGTAAACTGGCATTACTTTGTGTCTACATATATATGATCATTTGAGATGCCTTGAGGTGCTATTAGTCAACATTGCCAGTGAAAATCGCTAATTTTAAGAGATTTAGGTAAGGGATTTTCAGTGGCTTAGGCTCCGCACCGATATCGACGTCCTTTTGAAATAGTGACGTCCTTGCGGCTTCAATCACACTCTCCGAAAAATCAATTTCAGGACACTGTACAAATACTGCCATTCATACGGATGGTCCATCTCATGATTGATTAATGCAGTTTCTTCTTTAAAAATTCTAGATAAAAAACATGCACCAAGGAAGGAGCGTTCAACACTTGAGCAAAACAAAAGAAGATCTTTTGCTTTAAAACGAGGGCATTCGAATAATTCCACTGAAATGTGTCTAAAACAACTCACCTGGCCTTCTCGAAGGTGGCGCCCGCCGTCTTCCCGGCAGCGGCGAACCCAACACCGACCGCCAGTCCCTCTGGAACCACGAGGGGATTAGAAGATCAGACCAGAACGTTACGGCACTGGGGGGAGATCGGGATTTTATGCATTCGAGCGAAAAACAACGAGCACACAATATTCTAATGATTGACAGAGGTCAGAATGGGAACCACGGGTTCAGTTCTCGTCCCTCTGAAATGACGAAGGGAAATAGCATATCAGACTAATACGGCACGGGGGAGGGAGTATAAGAGGGTGATTGTGTCATGAGACGCCCGACATTTTGATATAGGCATCCAGCCCAGCGAGGATCAGGAAAAGGTCCAAAACAAAACCATGCCTTGAGCCAAGTGCCGTATCCCCGCAGTAGAAAACGGATGACGCCCAATCTATGTCATCATTTATCAATGTGTCCCTGAATTTTTTGTCTGCATCACGTTTTTTTTTGTAGTAAGCAACACACTTAGAAAGAAAATAGAACATACAAAAAAAAATCAGTTCTTTCATGGTGTTTCAGCTGCTCATCAGACACACACCTTTGCAATTGCTGCGACCGTCATGCACAACTGTGCACAGCTGAGTTCACTCACCTCAGCTGAATTCACTCATTTTAGACCTATATCAATTTTACCAGTGTTATCGAAAGTATGTGAAAAGGTGGTTTGCAATCAGCTCGCTTCTTATCTTGATACGTCCTCTATTTTATCACCATCTCAGTATGCGTACCGCCGATATCACTCAACGGAGGATGCTCTCACCGACGCTGTCGAGTGGGTGACGCGCCGCGTCGACAAGGGTCACATTGTTGCCATCACGTCGGTGGACCTCAGTCGCGCCTTTGATAGTGTTGACCATGGTATTTTATTGTCCAAGTTGAGCTGGTACGGTGTTGACCCCGGGTGGTTCGCGAGTTACCTCGGTGGCCGGCGGCAGGTGGTGAGAGGCGGCTCCCTATCCCTTCCTATGTCCCATGGCGTTCCGCAGGGCTCCCTGGTCGGCCCAATCCTCTTCAGCATCTTCACAAATGACCTACCTTCCTACCTTCCTCATGGACGGCTCATTTCCTATGCGGATGATACCCAACTCCTCGATTCCGCTCTTCCCACTGACTTACCTGTCCTTAAAAAACAACAGGAAGACACCTTGCTCGCTGTCCAGTCCTATTACACATCCAATTCCTTGAAAATGAATCCTAGTAAGACCACCCTGCTTCTTGTGGGTACTGGCCAGAACCTCAAGAAAACCTCATCCTTTTCCCTTACCATATCCGGTCACACACTACAACCATCCCCTTTTGTGAAGATGCTGGGAGTGACGGTCGACTCAACCCTATCCTGGGAAAAGCACATTTCAAATGTTGTCAAAAAGTGCAATTCCATCCTTCTATGTTTGTATAAAATTCGTCATCATCTTACCCCCGAGACCCGTAAGCTCCTTATCCAGTGCCATGTTTTCCCCCACATCCTTTACTGCCTCTCCGTCTGGGGCGGGGCCGCTCGCTGTCATTTACATAAGGTGCAGAAGGTCCTGAATTTTGGTGCTAGGGTCGTCTCCGGAGCGCGGGTTTCTGAACATATTTCACCGGTGTTGAGAGCCCTCGGCTGGCATGACATTGCTGATCTTGTCGTCCACCGTGACTGCTCCACTGTGTTCAGGGCGCTGAGTGACCCTTGCGCTCCGGAGGCGATCCGCTCCCTATTCACTCGGCGAGCCGCTGTATCGCAGCGCTCAACGCGGGCAACGTGTGCCGGTGTGCTGGAGCTGCCGGCTTACCGGCTGTCTATGTCGCGCCGGGCCTTGTCGTACCGAGCGGCCTCGTCCTGGAATCGCCTGCCGCCTGCCACCACCGGCTCTCGAACTAGAGCAGAGTTTTTACGACTTTTAAACTCGACATGTGACTAGCGTTTTGGTATTTTAGTACAATGTGTATGCGTGTGTGTGCTTGTGTTTTATATGTTTTTACTATTGTCATTGACTAGAAGCTGACACTAATCCATCATTGGAATGCTTCGCTAATACAATATACATATACATACATACATACATACCGGGGATATTATGCACTGTGATGGCGATGATCAGGAGCAGAATGCGTCTCCAGCGAGCCGACAGGTCCTCCTCCTCCCGGCTATCCAGACCGGCAGACGCGCCGTCGCCGTTCCCTTTCCCCAGAGTACGGCGCTGACGCAGGCCATCTGTCGGCGGGGAGCGGAGATGGTAGTTAGGATAACTGCCGCCAGGGGTAAGTTGCGATCGCTGATCATGCCGGAACAGAGGAAAGACTGGGCATTGGGCAATGGGCATTAGCTCGGAATTGAAAATAAGTACAAGGCAGATATGACAGGAAATGCACAGGCAATCATGACGTCATCAACTACTCAAGAAAGATCAGGCACGATTTATCAGGGGGCTGCAGCTGAGTGCATCGCTGTCTGCACTTGTGATGTTGCACTTGTCCACTCAGTTTATTGGTAAACGCCTCATGACTGGGCTTAGATTGCAAGGGTACAGCACGCACTGCTATTTCTCCCACCATACCTGACAACATGCCGCTGTTTTCGATAAGATCCTCGCCCCGTTCACTGTCCATTCGTCGTCGGCTGCGATGTTCTCTTTCACCGTCATCCAAAGATGCTGAGAGAGCAGAAAACACCGGATTATTCTCAGGTCAGTGTTTACTGACGAGGGTTTGGTTTAAGCCCGATCGCAGGCAACGTATTGAAAGCAGATTTTTCCTGAGATAAACCAAACAAACATGACATAGGACTTGAGCACTGCTAATAAGTTACAGCAAAAAAGTTAGGTATATGCAGCCCGTTCATGACACACATCCGTATCCTCATGTTCCCCATCTCGATCCCAGGTAGGTAAGACACGATACAAATTTTGGTAAGACGAGACCATGATACAATCATCATTCACTTACCCCAAGAGGGGACCAGTGACCTGCAGGTCCCCCCCCTCACCTAGCATCAGCGAAGACGAATCCACTCCAAATCTCTTCATCATAACATCGGCTCCCGAAACAAACATGGCGCCCGCCAGGAAGCCCACCGCCACCGGCAGAAACGCGAACTCTCCGTTCGCGCCGTATCCGCCAGATGTCTCTGCCATCTGCAGGGCTGGCTCCAGGAGGGACCAGAACGAAGCTGCTGTCATCACGCCAGCTGCAAACCCTAGGCTGGCGTCCAGGACATCATGCTGCAAATGGTAGAAAGTATGTCAGAGACATCAGACAAACTGCAGTGCTGACAGCTTAATTCAGGAGGAATATTTTGAGAATGCAGTGCCCATTATAAGCACAAACAAATGCAAAAACTGTTGAAAATGGGACAGGTCAAAAGAAGTAACTATTTCAACAATCACTGCTTCTATTCAGCACAAATCCTTGAGGGCTAGAAGTAGCCTAGATGAGGTCCAAATTGCTGTAAGAAGCTTGCTTTAGAGGCATAAGCTGTTAAAAACATCCCTGTGTGCAGGGCTAAAGGCATACAGCCAGGTACTTACATGTGATCCAGACAGTACAAAGACTAGTCCAGCGCCCAGAGCTGTGACACCCCATGTGAAAAGGGTGCCCAGAAATGTCTGGCCGAGGGGCGAGACTCCAGCAATCATGGCACCAGATTTCTCAAGTCTAGGTGACTTGATTATTTGCTGAATGCTGCTCTGAGAGCCTGTTGAACAGAAAAATGAGCAGAGTGACAGATATTGGAATGAAAGGAAATGCATAGACTCCAAATTGAAATACAATACCTACCTAGCTAGTCTCAGTCTCCATTGATCAGGGACTGGAGGTGGCTTGAAAGAAATTTAATTTGTTAGTTTTAACCAGCCTCTTGCTGGTAACTTCCGGAAAAATGTTACTTCGTCCAGACTTACTGACCAGATAAAATCTGCATAAAACCTACCTACAGGCTGCACAACCAAAAACACGTAAAAAAAAATAAACGCCGCAAAGCTGCCGGTTATCACAATATCGGAAAATAATACAAATAATGACGTCATTGAAAAAGAACGATTGATTTTGAAAGTTCGAACTGTTTTTATGTTTTTATCAGCAGTTCGGTGTCTATGTGGAGCGTTTATTTTTATTTTATTTTCCGCAGCATTGCAGGATAAATTATGGCTAGAAACGGTCAAATAGCTGCCACAATCGGTTCACCGCTCATTCAAAACTTATGACGTCATCAAATCAATAAAGAAAATATAGTTTCCTCTTTGCGCCACTAATGTATGCAATGTGTGAAATCCACTAAGCTCTATCATGGATTAGGTACTCCTGGATTGGACACTCCGCCGATTTTCCGACCACCCGGCGGCGGCGGCGGATTTCCCGACGGCGAGGGCGCTGGCGCCATTTTAGCATTGCGGGCTATGGGCGGAGCGTGTCTTTTTGTATACTTTTGTCGTTTATTACTTACCTGTAACCGATTTTGATGAAAATTTTTGTGAACCTGGTAGAACAGGAACTGAGGAATGCCATGAAACTATTCTTTTCCCAGTTTTGATTTAAGAAGTTGCTTAAATTCTGCTGACAAGTGAGGGTTCGTGATTACAGCCGAAGAGCCAATGCTAGAATAATGTGAAGTTTTATGCAATAACATGAAAATAAGTTGATATTTGTATTAAATCATCAATAGGAACTTGTTTGAATGCCGAGGAACGATGATATTTGATGATAAATTGCATCGGCAAGTCAAGAATACCGGCTCAGTTTATGGGCATCGGATAATGATTCCGTATGTGATAGTGACAAAATGGAGCCATAATAATTATAAGAAAGAACTTAAAATATGTGTGAAGTCTCTGAAATCGTTTTTTATCAGCTAAAGTTCGCTAATTTCGCCCTCCATTACCGCGTTTTTAACACGCAAGCCGGTGCGGCGGCCGCCAGCGCACTCGCCGCCGATGTTTCGGAGCTCCGCCACCAGGGCGGCCGCTTGGTCGCCGGCGCTAGTGTTGGGGAATAGGGAGTGTCCTATCCAGAGGGGTGTTCACGGGCACCGCACACTGCTGCGTGCGCTGTGTGCGGTGCGTCCAGCAGGCGTGGGGGTAGGGGATGGGTAGGCGGTTCTGACGTCACGGCTGCGTGCGGTGGACGGTCCGCTGTGGCCAGTCCCGACCGGCCACAGCGATCGCTGTGTGCGGTGACGGAAGGCTGACGTAGGGACGCAGTGGGCGGAGCTTCGAGGCTGTGTGCGGTCCGACCGCACACAGGGCCCGTGAACAGCCCTCAGGAATACTTCATCCATGGCTCTATAATGAAACGGAAACACGTCCGAAACATTCAATGATGAACAGCGATGCCATTCCTTGGGATTTGTCCCAAGATCTTGGGATTTGAACATTAACATTGGGATCTTGTGATTTGCACTGCATATCTTGGGATCTGGCAGAAGCTGATTTCACTTTGTCTTCTCATGCTGTCGAATGCTTTTTCCTCGGTCGATAATAGATTTAGGATGGATTTGCACCACGGAGGGTTAATCAAACATATTGAAGTAACGGACGAAGCTTGCGATGTTTCTAGCCGGCATTATCTTCCCGAGATCGCAGGATTATTTTTGTACCATTACTTGTTATGGGTATAGTAGCAGCTTTCAGTCGCTGTTCGCAACTGGCGCTCATTTGTTTAAAGGTAGTGTGCCAGCTTTCTTGGACCGTATGGAGTTAATGGCCCAGATAAGGAGAACCGGATTTTTAGAACTTATCCATACCTTCAAAACTCATGGAAACGTCTTAAATTCTTCAAATTTTGAGTACCCCAGTGCGAAATTCGCCCCGACGGGTTGTCGGTCGTACCCCAACCACATTTCACACCACTATGAACAACAAATGCACACACTGAAATCGCTATTACCGATATGCTCATCCAATCAAGTTTCGATAAACCCGTTCATCATCATCTCCTGCGGTTTCGAACACGCCTGTTAGGTGGCTTCTGATGCTCGTCGAGGTCGGAATTTCCAAATGGACGCGTGTATATCACACCACGGTGAGATTTACATAATGCATCGCACTGTAGTGTAAACCTCACCCGGGTGTGATTTACACAATACACTACTCCTGTGTATATCACACCACGCGGAGTGTGATTTACACAGTGGGCCGGCAATGCGTAAATCACACCGGGGTGTGATATACACAATGTGCTCCTAGTGTGTAAATCACACCCGGGTGTCAGACCACGCAGCACCTGGGTGTGATTTACACAGTAGGCCCGGCAAATGCGTAAATCACACCGTGGTGTGATATACACAATGTGCTCCTAGTGTGTAAATCACACCTGGGTGTCAAACCACGCAGCACCTGGGTGTGATTTACACAGTAGGCCTAGCCAATGTGTAAATCTCACCAGGGTGTGATATACACTGTGTGCTCGGTAGTGGGTAAATCACACCTGGGTGTCAAACCACGCAGCACCTGGGTGAGATTTACACAGTAGGCACGGTAACAAGACACTTAACCAAACCTTAGACCTGACCTGACCTAACCTAACCTAACCTAACCTAACCTAACCTAACCTAACCTAACCTGACCTACTGATTTTTGCCTACCCGTGGATGAGGAAGAAGGTACTCGCATGAAGAGATTGCAAGCAATGGTAAGTCAAATATTTTTAGGTTAAGTGGTTGTGCATCAGGCTTCAGGCCTTCGGCCTGAAGCCAGATACACAACCACTTAACCTAAAAATATTTGACTTACCATTGCCTGTAATCTCTCCTAAGGCATTGCCTTCGGCACTGCACCGCTTCGCCACGAGCATTCAGACGTCGCTTTCCATATTGTATTGGTGCTTTTAAACTTGTCGGTCGGCAGCGAACCCACCGCTACCAAGGAAAAGCGAAAATGCGGGAAAAAGCGCCCGCACCGACGGGACTCGAACCCGCAACATTCGTATCATTGTGCAAGCACCTTCACCACTAGGCCAGCCGGTCAGCTGATTCCGAGAGAGAGGACGCCCGGAATCCCGCCGGAATATTCGTAGTGCTTAGTCTGATCTGACCAATGGGCGAGCAGAGTCACTGCTCTGACCAATGGACGTTCAGCGTTGCTATGACGTCACATCGTGGTGAGATATACACACAGCTGCCCTCTCTGTGTATTCCTCACCCGGGTGTGATTTACACTACGTAGTAGATTTTGTGTATATCACACCGGGGTGGGTGTGATTTACACAAATGGCCGGTATTGTGTAAATCTCACCGTGGTGTGATATACACGGTCCCTTTCCAAATACGCGTGGTGCGTCGGGCCGCGCGCTCTGACTTCGGCCAAGAAAAATGCGTCAGCTGATCATTGTCATTTCTGCCACTTGCGTGTGGTGAAATGGGGTCATAACTTATAAGACGGCTTTTTATATCAATTATTTTACATAAAATCATATTTCAAACCATAAATAATGTTCGACAGCCAAATAAAAGAAACAATACCAATACGGGCTTACAGTTTAAGGCTCGACATTGTGTTGTCTACGATTAGACAGCTGATAACTCATTCCCGTACGTCGTATGGTCGTAACACTATAATGACCTTTGCTTATTGTCACAAGTGCGCCGCATTCGCGATTGTTGCCCGACGGCATATTTACGTCTGGACAACGAGTTGCGGGGAAAAGTGCTGATTGTGTTGCAGTTTTAGGAGCCGGTGATTAGGCTGGATTTTTGGGTTACTTTTTCGTTCCGATTCATGTATTTCATAGTGTTTGGCTTTTGAATATTTTAGTTCTTTCAGATAAATATTACTTGCCTTACAACTTCTGTAAAAACGTTTCATTTTTTATAAGCCGACGTTCAGAGTCCTAAAAATACATCAGCACTACAATCATTGTAAACAAACAAATGGAGCACCACTTGGCTCTGTTCCAAGGCCATTTTTTAGTTTATCTGGTGGTTTTCTTGCTCTTGTACGTCGTTTTGTTGGATGTTTTGAATCCTCATATCATATTTAAGAAGCATGTTGACTGAAAACAATCTGAAGTATCCAGGAGGCTGACAGAGGTCCTGACTACTGAGCAATATCAATATCAAGTTGAACAAGTTATGAAATTTTGGTTGATAAACGCAAGTTGATCGGGCTCATATATCAGCAAGAAAAAGTAAAATTAAAAGAGCTTATTGTCCAAAAACAAGCTATAATATTGCAGACCTTGGAGCAATACTGAAGAGCACGCTGAGCAGGATCATGCCTGAAAATGTTTACTGATGAGCGCATATTGATGTATTGGTATGAATATTGAATGATAACTTACAACAGCAAGATAAATTAGTGCGAACTATCAAGTTAAAATCTAGAATGAATGGACTTGGGCAGTTTTACTATGCTTAGAAGCTATGCAGATTGTAATGTGCATCAGGTACTCAGTGTCTGGCGAATGAAACATGTGATCATTCCATTGCTATTGGAGGAGAAAGCTTGGATCACTAAATCCACTTTATGTTGATTTTGATGTTAATCACCATCACTGTATTTCTTGAAAAAAGGATTGTAGTAAAATTGTCAATGTGACAATCCATGCAATGATGTGATCATATTATGTGTTCATAGTCATTTGTGATAGTCATTATTGGTCCAATATACAATGGCAAAACTCCCAGTCTCAGCGTTTCTTCCTGTGGATGGCCAGCAGTGACTCAGAGCTTAGAAGTATTAGTTTTCTTCACAGGGCTG